AATTGTAATTACAAATTAATGTAACACATACAATTAACCCAACTAACCCAGTTTTCTTTCCTTTATTTTTTTTTTCTTTTCGAACTGTTGTTTTCACTTTGGGCAGTTCACCAGCAGTTCCTTACGAATGGGGTGGGATTGATGACCTGTGTTATCACCATCCAAAAAGAATATGGTGGTGGGTTTGGTGTGATTGACATTTTTTTTTTCCAAGATTCCACAGAAAATTGAATACTGCTGGCTCATTCAAATGCGCAGAATCAAGCAATGCTTTTGATTTACTTGTACCAGTTGATAACCAGCTTTTGAGAAACTCTTATGGACCTAATGCTTTTAAAAAGAAAATTGAAAAACACTCCTGGTTTTGACATGAAAAAGATGGTACTAATACTAATTAATTAACAAGTGATAAGATTAAGAAATAAAGTCTAAACGCAACATGTGCAACAAAAATGCTTTTGGAATAAACAAAAAGGTTTCTAACCTGGCAAAATTTGTTAATTTAAGAAAGTATTTATGTCACTTGATAAATCCATAATTTTTACATTTTAAAGAAATATTAAAATGATCATGAAAAAATTTTCACATTTATATAAAAATATTTTACACGTATATAAATATAGTAAGAACCTGTATATTTATTGTCCAATAAATTTTAAATTAGGGATGAGCTTGAATTGAAACACGACAAAAAAGGAAAATGCAGTGCCAAGGGTTGCAATTTGTAGTCAGAAGAGGGAGTGGTTAGGCTAAAAAGTGTAGGCTAATAAAATATAATTATTGGCCCACTTGCATATAATTACAAGGAGAAGAACATAATTGAAAGAGAAAGCCAAGAAAGAGAGAGAGAGAGATACTCTTTTGAAAGTGGTGATGATCATTTCCATCTTTCATCTCATCCTGCCTCCCATCATTTGCAAGAATTGCAACCATGTGAAGTACACACAAAAGGGTGCAAAACCCAAAACAAAGATAATCCGAAAGCAGGAAGACAATTCCCCAAGATTATCATCACCAAATAAGAAAGACTTGATTGATTTTGCAATGAAGGAAATCATTGCATTAAAACAGTTGGAAGAAATTAGGAGCATGATTTCATGCTCTGGTATGAGGTTTTAGGGCTGAAAGGGAAGAAGGGGGGTGGGGGGGCATGCGGCATCATAACGCATGAAGATGAGAGGTGTTTGTGGTCCAAACTGTTTTTAATGCAAACCTATCATTGTTAGAAGAGGTTAAGGGGAGGGGGAGGGCTTTGGCTTGAAAGGGAGATGAAACATTAACATGTCCCTTTAACTGTCTGTGGTGGTCCAAGACAAAGGGGTTAAAAGGACAAAGGGGTCGTGCTGGTCTTCTTCTGCAAATACTAGAAGGAGAAAAATGAAGGTTCAAGGACCACAAAAATAAAACCAAAAAATAAAAAATATAAAAGGTCGGTTTATGTCAACTTCTCTTCTTTTGTAAAGAAAGTAAGATATGAGAAACGCATATCTACACTTCATTTAGTTTATTAATGATGTATTATTTTCTTATTTAAAGAGTAAAATTTAAATTCTCACTCTCCTAATTATATATAAAAAAAATTACATATCCATTCTTCTCATCTCAGCTGACCCATGTTAAGAGTGTTTTACTTTTTTTTCTCTATTTTTTCAAGTACTTTTCTTCTTTTTTTTTTTTTTGGGTTCTGAATTCAATATCCAATTTTCATATAACAAACAATTTTAGATATAGAAGTATTTTGTTTCTTATTTCACAAAGTTTAAATTTAAAATGACATAAAAACTAAAGAGGGCAACCTAAAATTAGTATTTTAACAAAGAATAACATTAAAAAAGTAGATATTATTTTAAAATATAAAATAAATTTCATTCATACTCTTTGTGGTTTCAATGTTTCTCACCTAGCAATTAGTGTTTATTTTTTCCATTAATATGGATAAATTCTCTTTCTAGAAAGAATTACACTGTTATTTTTTAATATAATTACCACAATACTCTTAAATATAAATAAATAGACTAATTTTTTTTATTTAGATTTAAGGGAAGAAAGATTTGAACTTATCATCCACTAATCAATAAATCAAAAATTCGAGTATAAATAAACTATCTTTGCATTAAGAATATTTTGATAATTATATTGAGTAAAATTAATGGTGGAACCCTTTTTGGAAAAGAACTTTTTACAGAGTGCTAATTGCAAGATGTATCATCCTAATAATGACCATTAAAACGAAGTGAGTATTGTTTAGGGTGAGGTCGAGAGAATAGGCAAACTATTTTTGCAAGCCCAAGGTTAATGTGAATTACATACAACAGACCATCTAGGCTATGGAACCAGGGCCAAGGACTAGCAGTGGACCCTAGTCAAAGCACAATTGCGTGGCCCACTGGCCGACCAGGAACAACCACACTCTTTCCGGTAAAAGTTGCACCTTTGTTAGGAGAGGATGATCTTGCATTGCTTCAGATATCTCCTAGAGCTGGTTTTCTACACCTTGTCTTTCAAAATCTAAGTTAAACAACTAGTATTTGCTTCTAATAAGACAGGTCAGCTCCTGTTCATGCTTTAAATTATATATCAAAGCATATCCCTGCAGCCACATGCATTGGTGCCAAAGCATTATCTACATATTGAAAAACTGTATGAAAAATCAGTCTGAAAGCAGCATCTGATCTACCACATGCAGCTTTGGACACAAATATACTGGTTTAACAGCCAGTTCACACCAGAAGACAACCCCCCCTCTCTCTCTCTCACTGCTCTCGCCTCTTGCCAATCCGATCCATCTATCTCTCTTAGCTGTTTTCACAAAAACTGCCGACTTATCTAACATCCATTTTGATGCCAAATATTTATGTTTGTAGTCACTTGTATTACTCACACAGCCAAGTGGATGAAAAGCTAACTTCAGCGTAGACAAGATGTTTCATGTTATCTACACTGGTTAAAGGCTACATGCGGCGTGCCACATGGATGGACCAAAAATCACATCAAACCTGTAGGGAGAAGATATCTAGGAGTGAATACTGAACATAATACTTTTCCAATCCAAACTGTGGATGTAAGTTCTCTATCTTGCAGTAGCATTCGGCATTTGCACGAGGCCAGCCCCAGACATAGTTGCTAGCTAACTTTCACTGAAACTGATATTCAAAGAGGAAAAAAAACACAAGCAAAATCCTAGTGCCAAAAATAATGCTGGTCGACAAGGTTGTCATTAGCAACAAACATTCAGAGAGTTTGCTTGCCATAAGATCAGCCAAGGAGAGTCTACCATTGTACCGTATGATAGCCACGAAAAGAAATTTTCGTAAGGAGTTAACCAGTTAGTAGACTAGTTAAGGGAGATGAGAAAGCATAGCAATGCCACACAGTGTGGTTCTATCAAACAAAATTGGTTCTATAACCATAAAAGGAAATACATGTCTACTCATTTACTAAGTAGATCCACAATTCAATTTGTTGAAAGAGAGTTATGATAAGGCAATAAAAACAATGAAGTTTCTGCATTAGAAAAATATTATTTATGAATAAATAGTTTTTATCATCATAATTCACATACAATAGTGACAAATAAGGAAGCAACTAGATGTAGGAGGGTTGGTTCCCACTACTAAGGCATCACTCAAGGGCCGATCCCTCAGTGCCTAAATATTTACGCACACTAACTTGAACGGGATCTATCAACTTAGCTCATGAAATTCCAGAAAAGAGACACGAAAAAAGGAGGGAAATCTAGACCAATTGCTTCCATCACATGGCACTTCCAAATTCCAATTAAACCATGTACCAAGAAAAAAGTACTATGAAAGCTCTGTGGGAGCTGAACTACAAATTTAGCACCATTTCATACGAAATTATATCTATTACAATCCTGAAAAGGAAAGAGTCCAAGCCTCAACTCTTAAAATGCAAAAGTTTAAACTCAGTAAAAAGGAGCCTCAACTCTTAAAATGCAAAGTTTAAACTCAGTAAAAAGGAAGAAGATGCTTTGCATGATTGATAGCTCACTGTTTCACATGACAATACCTAGCACCAATTACTGGTTGCAGGCTTTTTTTTTTTTTAATCAGGAACCTGACAAGTTAACATGATAAAAAAATTCATTGATCCTTAATTACATAATTTGCAGTACAGAAAATATACTTTTAGAAGATTTAGGAACTTCTGAATAGCTCTTGCCCTTACTCAATGAATTTATCACTAACCGCAGCCCACAGACTAGCCTAGCCACAAAAGAGCGAATGCAATTCCTGCCTAAACTATCTTCAGATAGGAACAAAACAAGGCATGCTTTTCAAATTAAGAAAAACTAAGACAAGCTGTGATTAATCAGTAGATAATTTGAAGATAAGTGTAGGCATGATCAGAAGTAAAATACAAAACACAACTAAACAAGATGAAGAACATCTTGTCAATTGCAAAACAAGAAAAAAAAAGGAAAGTGTCCCAAATACTAGACAAAGCTTATAGGAAATATTAAAAATTATGAACTGTTGACCACATTATTACAACCACCCTCGCATATATTTCACCCTAGTAATAGCACTGAAAACATCGCAGGTGAACAACTTGAGCAAACTAAGCTGATAGGCCTCAAGCTAAGTGTAAGAATTGAAGATTTGCAATAACAAGTAAAGCTCTCCAAAATGGAAAGTATAAACGCCACACTTGTTTCCTATAAAGCGGTTACTCTCCTTCCAAAAATTTAAGGATGTACTCTCAAGTTTAAATGGGGAAGGGGATTCATTTGTGTATATATTACGGTCCACTGCAGAAGGACTATCATTTTCCAAACATCTTTCCTTGTCAGTTCTTTACACACCCAGAGTACCAAAGCTCTCAACTTGATCAAATTTTGCAAAGCCTTAACAGCGAATACCCATTTGCATGGCCCTTAATTATGCCTCACTTAAGCTAATTTGTCCCCTCTTTCTCAATCCCTATTTCTTTTTTTTCACTAATCTTAAGGCATTTCAAAACCAAGTGAAACAGGTAAATGAACAAAAGTCTAAAAAGCTCTGGAATTTTGAACCTAAGACATTCTAGCATACTTAAAAATTTGAGTTACAACAGACAATTAGCATATAAACTCATGAAATGAGTAACACTAATCACCAAAATTCCACTAACCTCCAAATTAAACCACAAAAATACCGCTGAAATACAATCTCCCCCTAAAACTATGTATCACTGTCATCACTGTCATCGCCTTCACCATTGTTTCCGACATCTTTCGCAATGTAAACCCCTGGTTGCACAACTCGCCGCCTTGTCCTCGACGGCAAAATATTATCCAAATCAACCTCAGCCAATGGATCATCTGATAAATCACTCTCACCCTCTGATTCGTCCCCCCCATCACTCGAATCATCATCATCGTCGTCGTCGCTATCCTTTGCGTCCTCTACCAGAATCCCCTTCCCTTTCCGATCAACCGCCGCATTTCCATTCTCCTCCCCGTCATGATCGTCGTCATCTTCATAGTCATCGTCGTCTTCTTCTCCTTCATCTTCAGCGTCGACTCCGGGTTCTTTATTATCGGGAACGAAGGAATCGTCTTTAGGTTGGATAGTGTCGTCTTCGGTTTGGAGTTTTCGGGATTTTAGGGGGAGGTTCTCCTGGTCTTGGGGTGTGAGGTCGGGCTTGCGTTTGGCGGGCAATGCAGGATCGTCGGCGCTCTTGGTTTCGGCCATTGGATTCAAAGCTAGGATTTTTTGTAGGGGTTTACGGGAAGAGCAGCCCTCTTTGAGGGGGGTTTTGCAAAGTTCTGATTTTTAGGGTTCTTTATATCTCTCTCGGTGGATTTTTCTATTTCTTCTTTTCTGCCAAATTTATAGCTTTCCCCAAAACAATAAAAAAAACAGTTATTACGCGTATTATCGGTTATTATCCCTATTACCGGTCATTAGATCCGATGTTAATTAATATTTATTTGTTAACATGATCTATTTCATATTAACTGTCACGTGATAAAAAAATTAACGATTATTATTAATATTACCAATCATTAGATTCAATATCAATTAATATTTATTTGTTAATATGACATATAATGTAATCACATAATGTATAACATATCAATTATCACATGATTACAACTATTACCAAATCACATATCATATAGATAAAAAATGACATTTAACATTACATCCAATGATGGTTAATTTTTCATTAAAATTAAAATTTTTTGTGAATAAAAATGTAATTACATATCAAGTTTCATCCCACAAAAAATAAAGAGTTGTATCTTGGATCAAAAAACTCCTAGTCTAAATGCATGCGAAGATAAAGTATTTTGGATAGCATCACAAACTCAAAAATTTACAATTAAATCAACATAGAACTATATTGCGAGTCTCAACCATATGATGGAGAATCGAATTTGGAGATTAATTTGGAAGTGACCTAATGTTCATTGCATACATTCTTCTTTTATAGTTGGCATACAAAATTGTCTTTTAACCAACTTGGAATGTTCATGTCATCATTTTTTCAGCAATTCCTTCTTTTCGTTATACAATATAGAGGCTAAGTCAATTATCTATGTTATTTGTGATTGCCCCTCGCTTAAGTTGTTTAGGGTTTTTTAGTTTTGCTAATCTTGGTGGCTTTTTTTTATAGGTGGAATATGTTTGATTGGTTTTATTAGAACTTTAGGGAAGTTTCTTCATCTTGCAATACCACCAATCGTGTCATTTGGTATCATTGGGTGGTTTTTTTGGAGGTGGAGGAATGAAGCAAAATTTAACAACCACAACATATTTACTTGTAAAAGGCTCATCTTTATGAAAAAATATTTCAAAGATCCTATTTGTTGTTGGTCGTACTTTATTCCCACAAATGCTTATTGGTATATGCCCTTGAGCTAATTGGATTGGTCAAATAATATATATTGTCATTTGATGAATACTTAATCTCATAACCTCATATGATAGAGGTTTTCATTCATGTTAGTACAAAAATAATGAGTTATTAAGTACTAATTAGATAAAACCCATAAAAGATAAAGGGCTTTGTAAATAAATTGTAAAGTCGATACAATTATGAGATCTCTATGCATTAAAGTCATGCTCTTATAATAGTTTCAAAGCATTGTATTGTTAAGATAAGGCATTGACAATGCTCAAAGACTAATACATATTAAGCCTCTTTACTTGAAAAGTAAGTAATCGATCTTATAGATTAAAGTATATAAAATACATGAAGATAATATGTAGATATTTGTTAGAGAACAAATTCACTAAACAAGACTCGCTATGAGAACTCCATTTCATATTTTACTCAAATATCTATTAAATATGTTCTCATGTGATAGTCGTACAACTAGTCTTAGAACTTGAGACATTGAGTCATCTTGTATGTAGAATGACATATTTTAATTTCACCTTTATAGGTCTAGAGGCAACCAAATACCTAAATGGGGCGCTTTTGGGTATGGTATGAAGCATGTGAAGGTGAATGAGTAGTTAAAAAAGGATTTATCAACTCAAGTAATAACAAGGGGATATATCTTATTTGCTTTAATTTAAGTCATTGGCTAAAGCATGATGAGTTTGGGGAAAATTGGTTTCCTAAATTTATATGGTTAGTAATGAATTATAAAAACTAATATAGAATGTCATAAGTAAACATTAAACCATGTTTAATGACATATTTGGGATATATGATAAAAAGATCGTATTGCATTAAGAGACTTATCACTAAAGGGTTTTATCAAATTTTTTAATTGACTTTCTAACATTTGAATAGTCATGATGTATTGCTAGATACTGCTCATGATCTAAAAATATAAATAACTTATTTAATTAATATTTTATTATGATTTATATTTATTACCAACATGTTAAAAGCTTAATGTGTCGCACACATTAAGTAACATGATTGAGAGTAAATAAGGATAATCAATTAAGTTGGATTTAATTGAATAGATTAAAATAAATTAGGGAAATTAAGTTCACAAGACTTAATTGAATATATATATACAAATGTTATATTTGAGGTTACAACTAAGTTTGGTTATATAACTATGTTAAATTAGCCAACTAAAACTCTAAGCGTTAGGTCACTTTTTTTAGTCAAATCATAAAAAGAAGAAAAAAAATAATTTTTTTTGTCTGACAGAAATAAGATTTGACTAGGCTTGGTTTGATCTTCTTATTTTCTGAAAATAAAACTTACTAGTACAAGTAAAAATCTTACCTTGAGAAGATCTTATTTTGTCACTATGTGGATTACCGTTAAAGGCGAAAACACTTGGGTGGTTGAAGATTTGACGAACCCTAAAAGTGAAGAAACAAAGATTTCAACTATAAGGCTTTAGAATGTCTTATACGACAAGCATAATTTTATTTCGAGATTTCTTGCTTCATCACAAGCCTTTTTTGAATTCAATTGACTCTTGATTATGATGTTTAGAGAAAAGTATATAACACTTGAACTTCTAAATGTTTGTAATTAATCTAAAAAAAATTACACGAAAACATAAATAATTGATCTTAAGGGATTTGATTACTTCTTTAATTAAATGTATCTTTTTATTTTTTCACTGCGTTATGCTTTTAATGTTTTAATTAATTTCATGTTTGAAATGATTTCAAATCCCATTAATGGTATCAGAGCTTTTGTTTGATGCTTTTTATATAATTTGCATGCTTGATTCTTAGTGATAATTAATAGGATTGATTTGTATATTGATTTAGTATATATATATATTGGTTTTGAAGACTTTCTTTAAAATATGTTTTTTTGTTTTAATTCAATATGGACAGCATATTATTGATTTATTGAAATATGTTTTAAAAGGTTTAAAATCATGTTTAATTGAGGAATTAATGAATAGATTAAAAGGCTTATGAAGCCAAGTTAACATCGAATAATTTTGAGAAATATTTGGAGACTAGTGTTATGGGATATTTTTAATTGTTAAGAATTAGTTTTATCAACTTAAATTATTGCATGTTTCGGTCAGATTTGATTTGGTATGAAAAGGTTCATAAAAATAATGTTTTTGAGTTCCATAACAACAAAGATTCAATGAAGAAAATTTTGAATAGCTATGATCCATGAATTTTGTGTTTAACTGTTAAACATACTTGCTAGAAATTTTCTACAATCTTATTCATGAGTTTGACACATGATTTATGGAGTTCTAAGAGCCCTTAAATCTATTAATAAGGTGGCAATTGTTGCCTAAAATTCCTAAAAGGTAGGCAACTAATTTAATGGCATTAGATGCCATTCATTTTAATTTGGAATATTCAGAGGAAATTATTTCCTACTTTAAAGTGAATTCCTAAAATTACAATTAGCATTTTAATTTGGGAGATTCATAAGAAATTGTTTCCTACTTTAAAAGGATTCTTAAATTTATGTGATTGTATTGAACTTTTCTTAAAATTTTGGTTTGACTAGAAGTTTTCAAAAATTTGTTAAGTCACCATTTAGGTAACTTAAAAAAGATACAATTTAGGAAACTAATCTATGTTCTAAATGTTAGAAATTAAAATATTGTCTTAGATACATTTTAGAAGCTTACCTAAAATAAAGAAGTTTTCAAAATTAAAAAGTATTTTAATTTTGAAAAGAATTAAAATAGAAAGTTTTAAAATGGAAAGTTTTATTTCAATGAATTTCTATTTAAGGAAAATGAGTAAAAGGTTTATTTCTGGTGTTTTGAAAAATGGGAATTGCTTAAACACTAAATTGAAATAAAATAATATCAACTAATTTGAGTTAAACACTTTAAGTAAGTTAATTAATAATTTTCTCAAATAATACACAAGATCGTCAAGTGATACCACTACTAGAAACAAGGATTTATCGATGAAATTTATTATGTCGGTGTATACCGATAGATCACTGACGACTTACCAAAAGAATGGAGGCTAAGAATCCACCAATGGATTCCCAACTAAATATCGATCGAATTTACCAAAAAACGTACTTCAATCAATAATCGATCGGTAAAGCATTAGCGACAATTATATTTGGATGGTGGGAAAAAGACTGATTGAACACTTTGGTTGGGAATAACCATACCAACCGAATATGCCAACGGATATTTCGTTGAGAAAGTTGTGATTATCGCAACGAAATTACTAACGAAAGTTTAGTTAGCGTACTTGTAGTTCCCTTTGCAGAGTTCACCAATGGATATGCCAACGAAATTTTTGTCAGTATAAGGGTTCAGGCTTACAAACGGAAAATTTCGTCAGTAATTATAAATAAAATGCTTACGGTTTTCTTTCGGGCATTTCCTCTTCTCTCCTTCTCTTCCCCCAAATTTGCCTTTCCCCGGCCAATCAGTAGCCTTCCTTCTCTAGCATCTACAGGTAGCTCCCTCCCCTGGTTGGACACCCTTCGTCATAAACCCAATTCTGATCGGACTCTCTCGAGCTGATGACCTTAGTGCCTCATGCTTTCCTCCCCAGACCTAGAGCTTCTTTTATTCACTAGTGCTAACCGGCATGTAGAGGAGGCCAACCACCTTCACTCCTCTCCAGGCTTGAATTTCGTGTTGACAGGCTACCTTCCCCCTGTCTAGAGTTAAATCTAATGCTGACCACCCCCATTCCTCCTTATCGATTGCACCCTCCGCTGTCGAGACAAGTAAGGTTATTTTTTTTATTTGCTTCAAATTTTTTTAAGGTTAGTCAACAATTAAAAAAATATAAGACTCAATATCACATAAATATTTTAAGGCTCAAATGACCCTTATATCATTTTTTCAATTTAGGTATATTCTTTTTGAAAAAAAAAATCTACTCATTCTCTTCCAAAAACCTTGATAAAAA